TCCTTCCTTCCTTCCTTCCTTCCTTCCTTCCTTCCTTTTTCCCTTCCTATGCCAGTTCTGGGGCTTGAACTCAAGTTTAACATTCTTCCACTTTGAGCCACAGCACCACTTCTGACTTTTTGTGGTTAATTGAAGATAAGAGTCTCACGGACCTTCCTGCCTGTGCTGCCTTTGAACTGTGATCCTTAGGTCTTAGCTTCCTGAGTAGCTTGGATTGCATGAGTGAGCTACCAGTGACCAGGCTTTTTTTTTTTTTCTTTTTTGGCTTTTATTTTCTTTCTGTCTATCATGGGGCTTGAACTCAGGGCTGGCATTGTTCCTGAGTTTCCTCAGATCTCAGCCTCTGTAGCTAGACTTACAGGAGTAAGTGCCAACCTCTCTTAGCTTTTTATTTTTTTTTTTGTCAATCGTGGAGCTGGATCTCTGGTCCTGGGCACTGTTCCTGAACTCTTTAGCTCAAGGTGAGTGCTTTACCACTTGAGTCACATCATCACTTCCAGTTTTCTGGTGTAGATAAGAGTTATGGACTTTCCTGCCCGGGCTGGTTTTGAACTGTGATCCTCATATCTCAGCCTCCTCAGTAGCTAGGATTACAGGTATGAGTCACAGGCGCCCAGCTTTTAGTTTTAAAAGAAAAAAAATCAGAATTCTTCACACAATTTTGTGACATACTTTATAGTTCCAATATTTAAGATACCTGGTATTTTGCTGTTTCTTCTTTCTTTCCTCACAAATCTTTGGATAAAAAAAAAATCTCTCCATTACAACTGTCCTCAGATCTGGGCTGTCTTTTCTTCACATTTTGCCCTTATAAGGCTATCCTGTTTTATCACTTCCTGCTTCAGCTCCTGACTTTTCCTCTTTCCCTCTCCTTGTCCAGGGTGGATGCTTGCTCCCTGTGGCAGGACTGTAACTGTTCACAGCTGTCCCAGCTGTCCTGTCTCCTGTGGACCAGGAGCTGCTTAGAGTTTTAACTTTCATTTTACAAAGAACATGCTTGACTGTTGCAGCAGGCAAGTTATAACTGGCACTTACTTCTTGTTCTTCTAGAACACTGAAAATCTCCCACAGCACTTTAGAAAGGGGACCCTGACTGTGTTGAAGAAGAAGTGGGAGAACCCAGTGCCGGCAGCAGCAGAGTCACAGGCAGATCCTCCGCAAAACAGCTTTGAGGTTAGGCACCGAGCGGACCACCATCCTGCTGAAGTGAAAAGCAACTCCACTTCTGGAACCAGAGCTGACCTTAGATTCGGATCGCATCCTGAAGCCCTCACCCAGTGCCGGGATCCTTGCACGGAGGACAGTAAGGATCTTAAAGCCCAAACAACAGAAAGTAAAAAGATGGAAAATTGTCTAGGAGATTCCAAGCATGAAGTAGAGAGATGTGAAATGAGTGAAAACAGTGACACTTCAGGAAAAATAGAGAAATACAATGTTCCGCTGAACAGGCTTAAGATGATGTTTGAGAAAGGCGAAGCAACTCAGTCCAAGGTAAGAACTGGGCGAGTATAATATTTGAGAAACCCAATTCATGTACTAAACAAAGCTGTTTTTCTAATCTGGACAGCGGGAATAGAGTTGAATATGTGATCAGTAAATCTTTTGCTTCAAGTTAGATGAGTTAATATAAGGTCTCTGATGAGTTATTTACATAGATAATAAGATTGTGAGCTCTCCCTCCCCCCCCCTGCAATTTCACATTAAATCTAGTTCAAACTGGGATTTAATTTGATATCTAGAAATGAAGAGAGTTGTATACTGGATTGATTTTTTTTTTCATACACTTGCTCTTTTCATTTGTCTTCCTGTGCCTTTTGTCATCTGTAGCCTTGGGGGTGGAATTACTGCTGAATTGCCTTCTGCTTGGGCACAGCTGCAGCAGAGTGTTAAGGCCAAAGTTTAACATTAAAACTGAGAGTTGGTTGTCTCTTTGCTAGCTGAATCCCCTCTCTTCTTCTCAACTTCCTCATCTGTGCCTTCCAACAAATGTTTTTTATCAGCTAAAATCCTCTTTCTGGAAAACTCAATGAAGATAGCCAGACTAACTGTGGCTTTCAGGAGTTTTGACTTGCAAATGCATGGGTTGCATTTTCCTACAACTGCTAATGAAATTTGATCCTTCATGTGGATTGCAGACTGAGTCCCCAGAGGGAATTACTTAACTAGAAAATGAGTTACATATGCTAGGGACTTATAACACAGTCCAGAGGCCACAGTGCTGGTAAAAATTTCCAGTTTTCTCATTCTTTCCTACATATCTGGCCTTGTATGTGGGGATGGGTTTGTTATAACAGTCATTATAATGAAATAAACAGATCTGATGGGTAGCAAAGCCATCATTTACTCTGGATTCCATCTAGATGGGGAAGCTGGATTTTTTTTTCCCTTACAGCTAAACATTTGGCCTAAATCCCAATTATTTGTGAAGTAATAGCATGAAACATTCCTTCTGTGAAAAAAATGAAATAGATAACTCCTCCTGTAACCCTCAGTTTTGTTCCATGTGACATTATCAGTTCCTTCCCATAACTTGCTATGCCTGTTGTTTCCTGCCTAGCAAAGTTCTAATTGCTTGAGGCTCATTTCTGAAAGCCTAGGAAGAATTTTGAAAGACTAGTAAAGCTCGAATCCTTTGCTGTGCTTGAGCTTTAGTTCTGATTTAACACTGAAACCAGTTGGCAAGAGATGTAACCACAAAGCAGTTTTATGACTTTTCTTAAACTCTTTCCTCTCAATTTTTTTGTCCCCTAAGGCCTGCCAATTCCCTTTTTCCCATTTATGGCTTTAATTTTTTTTTTAAACAGGAAGAATTTTTAATGGAAGAGAAAAAATGTCAGAAATCCTAAATGGAGAGGAAGGGGCTTTGTAGTGACTCAAAGCACCATTGTAAGTCTCCTCCTCACAAACCCTGCAGGGGTAGGACAGCTGATGTCATGCCAGCACATACAATGTAGATTCAGTGCAAAAGGGCTTGTGCATGTCAAAACTAGCCTAAGGTAGGAAATGACTGGGACTGAAGCAAACAAAAATGCTGATTATGTGTAAGGATCTGGTGAGAGACTATTTTTTTCTCATAAATGTCTAGTTAGAGATGGGTCAGAACAAGTCTATTTCTTTCTGTATGCTTTGAGTAGAGGGGGAAAACATCCCTATGTAAAGAAAGATCCTACTACATTGCTGATGGCAGTAGGCTACTTGATGGCAGAACTTGTAGGAAGATGGATAGGTTCTAAGATTCACTTGGGCTTGTGTATTCATGTGTGTGCATACCTCTCTCTTTTTTTTTTTTTTACTTCCTGATTAAGTTTGTTAGCTAATGTGCAGCTTAGAGACTGGAAAGCATAACCACTGTTGGTTTTATAGCCTTTTCTAAACAAACATCATTATTCATGTTGGGGAAAGTTTTGTCTAGTATTTTAGTCAAACTGTTAAGAAAAGTTTTGTCTACTTTAGGTTGGGGACTAACTAATCAGTTTGAAATTAGGTTATGGTTATTGTGTCAGGATATGTTAGGTTAAAGATATAACATACCCTTAACATGGGTAAGGTTGTAATCAGGAAGTTACATACTTGGATCTTCAGAAGGAAATTGTGAGAAATATGGTTGGAATGCTCCTAAATCCTTCTAGAAGCAAGATTATACAAGTAAGTATATATTTCAGAGCCAATAAATTAGTACCTCAATGTGACAAAATGAAATTGTGTGCATCTTTGATTCCATAATTGAATTTTAGAGACCCAGACTGAATCTCAACTAACTAGCTGAGCAAGGTCAGGATATACATACCTAATGTCTTGTCCAAATCTTTTTTATCTTAATTATTTATACAAGGCAAAGATAACTGGCTGGCTGGAGTAAATCCCCCCCCTTCTCTCTCTCATGCCAGTACTGGGACTTGAACTCCGGCCCCTAGGTGTTGTCCCTTAGTTTTTTGTTCAAGGCTAGCACTAGTTATTTGAACCTTAGCTCCACTTCTGACTTTATGCTAGTTAGTTAGAGATAAGAGCCTGTAGATTTTCCTGCTTGGGCTGGTTTCAAACCTTGATCCTCATATCTTAGCCTCTTTAGTGTCTGGCATTGTAGGCTTGAGTCACTAAAGTGTCTGGCTTTTTTTCTTCCTTCCTTCCTTCCTTCCTTCTTTCCTTCCTTCCTTCTTTCCTTTTTCTTTCTTTCTTTCTCCTTCCTTCCTTCTTTCTTTCATTTTCCTTTCTTTCTTTCTTTCTCTTTCTTTTTCTCTCTTTCTCCTTCCTTCCTTCCTTCCTTCCTTCTTTCCTTCCTTCCTTCCTTCCTTCCTTCCTTTCTTTCTCTTTCTTTCAAAGTCTTATCTGTTTCTATAACTAAGAGCTGAATTCTATATTCAGATTCTAACATTAAATTCTTAACCACAGCTTCAGCCTTTGCTAGGTTATTTGCTTGATAAGACAATCTTCCTCACTCCCACAACCTGTGCTGAGGATGAAATCCAGGACCTTGTACATGTTAGGCAAGTGATGTACCACTGAGCTGCTCCCTGTTCCTATCCATTTATTCTTTCTACAGATGCTGACTACTCCTTTGTGCAGTAGTTCTTCTAGGAGAGGAATAAAAGAAAGGAAACAGGAAAGAGGGGAATCCTCCTTACCAAAACCCTAAAACATATAAGTACAGTGTCATCCTTTGGGTATACACCAATGATAAGAAGTAGTAATGATAACTTAGAGTCTCACATGGTGTACAACTTGAGTCATGCCCCCAGCCCAAGTTTTATTTACTCTGTGTGTGTGTTTGTGTGTATGTGTGCACACACACACGTGTGCCAGTCCTAGGGATTGAACTCAGAACATGGCTGCTATCCCTGAGCTTTTTTTGTTCTACCACTTGAGCCACACTCCACTTTCAGCTTTTTGGTGGTTAATTGAAGATAAGACTCTCACAGATTTGCTTGACTTTGGACTGTGATCCTTAGATCTCATCCTCCTGAGTAGCTAGGATTACAGTTATGAGCCACCAGAGCCCCCAGCTCCTTATTTACTCTTAATAGCCCTGAATGATTCTTTAGAATTTATGATAAAATGAATAATATATCCAAGTTTAAAGATGCCAATCAAGGAATTCTGATGTTTTCCACAATTTCTTGCTCTGAATGGCTATTCTTGATGTGTCAGAGAGACCAGTCATCTCTTCTGTGCTTATTTTAATGCTGATTGCTTATTGGTGTCTAGCCAGTTTCATTGCAGTAAAATGTGTTGAAAGGCAATGTCAGGAACTAGAACATTCTCTAGCATTGTTGGCTATGTTAGCTTGTGTGGGGGCCAAAAAGACTTCATCTGCTCCCTAAATATTACCATCTTTGCTTCCTGCTATTAGAATCATTCCTGCTTTAGACCAGGTAAGTGTGTGTCCATATGAATATATGACAGAGGCATTTCCTACAGCTTTCTAACTCATTGACAAGTTAAAATGAAAGAGAAATGCCCATTAAGATCATTGACATTGGGCTGGGAAGGTGGCTCAGTGTTTAGAGTGCTTGCCTTGCATGCATGAGACCCTGGGTTCAATTCCTCAGCACCACATAAGCAGAAAAAAGCTGAAGTGGCGCTGTGGCTCAAGTGGTAGAGCTCTAGCCTTGAGCTGAAGAACTGAGGAATAGTACCCAGGCCCAGAGTTCAAGCCTCACAACAGACCCCCCCCCCAAAAAAAAGGTCATTGACATGGGCTGAGCATGGTGGCACATGATTATAATCCTAGCTCTTCACAGGTAGGAAGGTTATGGTCCTGGGCCAGCCCTGGGAAAAGCAAGAGAAACAACCAAAAAGTAAAATGTATCGGGTTATTGCTCAGGTAGTAGAGTGAAGCCCTGAGTTTTAACTCCAAATAAAACATAAAAAATACAATAACATGTAGATCTTAGAATATATTAGACTTTGCCAGAAAACCACACAGACATCCAGGTACAAAAAACAAAAACAAAAAAAAAGTTTATTGCCAGTTAAGGGACCAGCAAGACCCCTTCTCACAAGAGAGGAGTGAGAAGAAGTGTGGCTATTGTCTGAGGGGACGTATATAACCCAGAAGGTTTAGGCTAGAAGGGGCTAGGAGGTAGAGACCCTGGCGTGGATGTGAGAACCGGGGACTTCGTCATGGTGGATTAGGATTTATGGCTGCTGCCCAAGTAGTAGATAAGGGATTTTGCAGCTGTCCAGACCTGAAGGTCACTCTCAGGGGCTCTTGCTGCCTTATATGGTGGTAGCTACCCCAGCGGAGTGCCATCTCAAGGCACAGTGGGTGTTGGAGGCTGATTATTTACTGCCTTTACTCTAGTTTTGCCTAGGAAAGGAGCATGCTAAGCCATCAGAAGGGGGCTTATTGGGCTTACAAGAATTATATGGTGTTTTGTTTTGGTATGTTTTATTGTAGGAGGATGTGGGGGGGGGTGTGATTGTGGTACTTGTACTAGGACTTGAGCTTAAGCCCTCAAGCTCTTGTTTAGCTTGTTCTACTTATAGCTGGT